CCTGTGAGTCCCTGTACAACCATACCGTAACACGCCGCTAAACCCTAAACCCTAAACCCTCAACCACTAGCCACCAAAACCCTAAAACCCAAAACCCCAAAACCCTAAACCCTAGACACCAAAGTAGCGCACCCCAAAAACCATCGTCTGAAAGGCAAGGCCCCTCGAGGGGTTTATCTTTCCAAGCTGGGGCTTGAGGCTTGTGGGCTACTTCAGGTCATTGGCTGATGTAATTTGAAAATCTGCATGTCGCCTGCCGAGGACTGACCGTATGGGGCTCCTGAAACAAGGGAACCTACAGAGATGTAACGTTCCATGGCCTCTGAAACATCTGATTTGCACAGATCGAACATGCAAACACAACAACCGCTAAAGCAAAAACCCTTAGAGGAGCGCTGATCGTATCCTTTACCGCAGGTCCTCTGCTCGGACTCCTCTGTGCGTTGTCAAACTCTTCCATCGGTGGCTCTCCTTTGGCTTGGAAGGTGTAGGGTTTCGGGTCTTGGGTTTACCTGGACCCTGAATAACCTACCTGTGTAAGGATGCATATGACGAAATCAGAAAAAGGAGCCCGAAAAGGGTAGGTCTTGAGGGTCCAGTAGGGTTGGGGTTTAGGATTTGTGTTCTTGGGCCTGTTCTGGCTTTAAGGCGAAAGAGACCCCAGCTCCACCTATATCGACCACACATTTTCGCGGAAGCCTCCTTATAGTATAGGAAAACATTATATAGTATGTAGTGTATAATATAAAGTCAACCCTAAACCATGGTATTGCAAATCCCGTGCATTGCAGGAGAGATGAACTGCCGATCGGTAGACAACGTCATGCAGGAGGTGGATGCAGATGGCACCCAGGTCGCATACGCAAAGCTTGCTAAAGAGTCCTGCGACTGCCTGAGTGCACAAACAGCAAGCAAGCCCGGAGTAGGCATGGTTCGTAGTCACGGAATTGCATTTCGATTGCATGCGGGTTTTCCGAGCCCGAAACCTGAATTTGGCCAGGTACTTCTCTGAGTGTAACATATCAAGTCTACGGAGCCTGGGTCTCTCTCGCTCTGGACGGGCAAGCCGAAGTGATGACAGTTGATATCTCTGTTTCAACCTCCATCCTCTTGTCCTCCCTTCATCTAAGAAGAAGTTGCGAATTTCTGAGCTTGGCGGGATAGCATGGTCGTTGCGTCCACAAGCCTTCTAGTGCGAGCCTTCAGGATAAGATGTAATGTATGTCACTCCGATGGCGTTGTAGTAGCGACGCCACACACTCTGACTAATTTAGGGGCCTTACTACTTACCTATATACTATTTTGGTGGCTTTTTTGTATAATTATAGTATACTTGGCCCCAAAACCCTATTCTAATTCTCAAGGCCCCAATCCAAGGCGATGAATTATTTTAGTATAATTGGCCCTCAAACCCTATTCCACTAATCAAGGCCCCAAAAAGAGAGAGCGCAAAAGCCAAGGCGACGGATCGATCTCCTTCCTGGAGTTCATGCTCTCGGCCTCGCGAGTCCTCTTCGGTGTCTCTGAGAGAAAAGGGGCCTTCATGATTTCCAATACTTTTTTTGGTGGTTCCTTACCATTATTATTCTTATTATTACAATTTTGATTGTAGTCTAACCCATCCTATTTTGGTGGTTCCTTATCATGCTCATTATTATAGTATAATGGGCCCCAAATGAAGGGCGAAAAGACCAAGAGTCGGAACTCCAGACCGTTGCATGCTAGGACGGCTTGCTAAACTCAGGGTTGGAGTTTCTGCCTGGGAGTCTAGGACATCTACGAAGGCATCGTTTTCTATGGGAGCAGTGTGCAGGCACGCTTCCGAGCCCACACCCGCTGCCCACCGTAGTCGCTGCCCTGGCTCGTCTCAAGAATCTCGAAGCTCGTTCATGAGATCAGGAAGCAACCATGTTCGTAGCTTGGGGGGGACTTGTCTGCCGAGGTGGCCGCAGCGTTGCAGAAGCCTCTCGGTGCATTATGATCGTCCGGGTGGCGGTTCACAGCTTTGGGATTCGATACAGGAGCAACCTAAGATCACAATACTTAATGTTTCTGGGCCGGTTTGCAAATGCGAGGCTGGTACACCCTTGTGTTCCCCAAGCCTTTTAAGGTAAATCACAAAGCTTACATAGATTTGTCTAATTTCTGAAGCTCTCTCTTATTTCTGCTTTCATTGAGACCTCGCAGTTTAAGCCGTGTTGAAGCTGTAGCATCGCCTAAACCCTAAACCCCTAAACCCTAAACCTTAAACCCTAAACCCTAAACCGTGAAACCCTCAACCAGAGGGCCGATGCACTTCCCCCCTTCCCAAATGATCAGCAGGCTTTAGGCTTTAGGCATATGGGTTTAGGGTTTAGGGGCCCCTTCCCACATGATCTGCGGGCTGTTTGTCCTAACCAATCTCTGCACTCCGAATGGGTTTTGGTACCTAAAGCCGAAAACCTTACTATCTGGGTGACTCTAGGGTACACCGAATCCTTCTGCTTTAGTCTGGTTGGGGCTTTAAGATCTCTTTCACACGAATTGCGACTCCTGAAAGGGCACGTTTCAGCATCGAGTCGTTCGGCTACTGAGGGACAGAGTCTACGAAGGAGACTTGGGGGGCTTAGGGTTTCGGGTACAGTGATTATAGCAAGGTTTCGGCGTACATGGCACAACATGGCTTCATAAAGTTGCGCATCTATCCGACTGGGCATTAGAATAAGTTACAGAAACTCCTATACCCTAAACTTTCGGTTGCCGGGACCAAAAAGGCATCTTTACTTTGACTATGGAGGCCCGCACCCTTGAAGGGGAATCCCCTTGGAAAGTTTGCGTTTACCTCCTTGGAACTTGTATAGCGACCTGGGACGCAGATTGATTTTGAAAGTCCCTGCACTCCAAGCCTTGACCGTCCAAAAGGACATTAAAGCTCCCAAACGCCTTAAGCCCCGAATAACATTTAAACCCCAAACCCTCAAAGCCCCAAACCCCCAAAGCCCTAAACCCGCTTGCAACATGTACTGTAGAGTACTTTAGTATACTGTAATATGTTATGATATACTATAATGTGAATAACCATATAATATGTCAGGTAAATTGCAATATGCTTCTCTTTACTGCCTATTGTCTCCACTGTAGTTCCTTTTTTGGATTACCTTATAGGCTCCTTAGTATATGATTGATTGAACCAAAAAAAGGAATTACAATGGAGACTATGGTATGTTACAATCCCGTGTTCCGAGGCTGGCCCGGAGGCCATTGAACTGCTCCAGGAGCGAAGCCCGGAGAAGCCAAAGGCGGACCTCGAAAGGCCAGAATTTTTTGTTAATGCATCGGATCCTTTCTGGGGCTTTGGACTTGAAGGTTTTTGGCTCTAAGGTTTTGGGGTTTTGAAAGCGGGGTAGCCTATTTTTTTTGTTTTTGTTTCTGGCTGCTGTTTTGCTGAGCGGGTTTGTATTTGAGTGTGTCTTCAGGTTTTGTGAGTCTGGGACTTGAAGGTGTCTTGGGGTGTTGGGGGCCTTGAAATTTGTTTTGTGTGTGCCTAGTAGTAGAGTAGGTAAGCTTTAACCTTTTTGGGGTAGTATAGTCCCTCTATAATCCCTATATAGCCAAAAAAGTTAGGGCCATGCGGATTTGTAGTGTTTCTCAGGGTTTACATCTTCGAGGGTATTGTATTCCACACGGTTTGGCTTTTTGAAGGCTCGGTTATGGGTTTTGGACGGGAGCTTTGGTGTTTCAGGTTTGCCAGCAGTAAGTATCATGATGGTGGTGATGTCATTATGGTCGGTTCTTTTGACTATCTTGTCACCAGTGCCGATGATGTTCCCTTGCTTTGCTCATGCTGCCTAACCCTATAGAATCCACATGCGAGGCCTCGACCCCTGCATTCGATGCCGGCTTCGTATTGTTCACGTTGTTCTTCGTGCACCCCTGTTGCGATCAGCTTACGCGCTTATTGTTCATTACTTTCGTTTCGTGGCGATTGAACGGTTGCATGCGTTAACGCACAAGCATGTGGTTCACTGGTTGCATTCGTCTTGAAGCATCCCAAGATTTAATGGCGAGGATTCCTGATGGTGACATGGTCTTGATGATGTTGATAGAAACCGTAACTAGTAACTAGTGTCAATGACAATCGTCGTGATGCTGACGGTTGTCTGGAAGCATGATAAAAATGATGGTGCATTCAATCTTGACGTGGGTTTATGGGCTAGGATTGTTCATTGACTGGTTGGTTAACTTGTAGATTGATTTACTGGTTGGTTGGTTGTTTGTTCGGTTGACTGAATCCTGGTTGGTTTATTTACATATGCAGTTCATGATAGTTGTCTGGTTGGTTGACTGGCAGAGAATTGCCTGACTGATTGGCGCATCCACGGTTTTGTTGACTGTTCTTGAGTTTCTAGTTAGTGAGCTTTTTTGGGGGGACTGCTCCTGCAATGATGACGGTCGTCGTCGTCGTCGTCGTGACCACCACAATTTTCATCCTTGATAGCAGCATCGCCAACTATTACCACCATGTTGATCATCACATCCAAGTTGGTCGTGTTGCTCACAATCCTGCTGCTGCGTGTCATCGTTTTCATCTTGCTCAGCATCGCCGTCGCACTGGTATCATCATTGTCAGCATCACCACCATCACCTTCATCAACCTCATCATCATCATCATCACCATCATCAGCTATCATGATCGTAATCACCATCACCATCATCATCATTATCATCGTTGTCGTCATCGCCATCATCATCATGATCATCATCGCAATCATCAACATCATCATCAGCAGCAGCATCGTATTGACTATCACCTGTTCCTTTTCCTGCTTGGACTTTGATTGGACCCGGAACGGTGATTGAACTTAGGGGCTTTTGAATCCGGCATCGCCAGGAGATGCAACATGAAGGTATACTTTCGGGATGCGGGAACTCGGGGTGTGCATATTGAGGTGTTTGCTGTCTTGGTGTAATTTGGTGTTTATTGATAGTGTGGGAGCTACTGCCTGCCGTAGCCGCGCAGCATGGCAGTCCGCCCCAGATTCCGGTTGGTCTCTGCGCTTGTGCAAACCTTCCTTTGGGCTGATGTTGTCAGAAGCCACTCCTTCACGGAAGATGCTTGTGCTGTCAGCACACCAAGTGCAAATCTGGATGCTGGAGACCAGCAGGAAGAGTCCATGCTGTTACAGCGCCAGGGCTCATTGGGAATGTCTGCTGCTCCCGATGCTTTCGGTCTGGTACAGGATTCACCTCTTGCAAATCGCACGATTCATACTCAGGGCCTATCCTTTAGCTGCACTTGGACGCCGTCTTCGTGTTCTGGAAGGCTGCGTGGCAAGCAGGTGCTTCTCCTTCACGGTTTCCCGATGTGGAAGGAGATCGGGAGGGGGTTACTGCAGGGACCTTAATAATCACGCGTACTTTTTTGTTGCAGGGTTCCTTAAGAAAGCATAATATGTACCAAAACCCAACTCCAGTTTTTACGGACCCCACATTAACGCCATGTTTCCAGAGGAGCGCTACGGCTGCAATAATCAGCATGTGATGTCCAGCCTACTGAGTGCTAGGTTTAGGGTTTATAAGGTTTCGGCATAGGGTTTAGGTTTGGGCGCATATCATACCCGTCCAGCCAGCCGTGGGTTTCATGCTTTCTGACTCCGCATGATGCAAAACGGTACACGGAAGTCTTCGGCAAACCTTCCTGCATTCGCCGACAGAGCCTACCCATACTATACTGTACTCTTCAACGTACTTCCTTGTTGTTGGCGGCCTTGTTTCTTTTGTAAAGTAGGAGCATAAACATAGAACTGGCCGAAAAAATCGAAAGCCGCGTCGGAATGTATTAGGAAGCCCCAAACAGTTACAGTAAGTTAACCCTTCTTATTGTTCTTTGGTAGTGGGCCCTGCCAGCCCTAAACTCGACAGGAGACCTGGTTGGACTTAATGAAGGAGTTGGCAAACGTTGGCTACTGTGCTGCTGCTTGCGACCAGCGTGGATATTCACCAGGTGCGTCCCCTCTCTCTCAGCGCGACTACACTGTGAGGAAGCTGGTGGGCGATGTTGCCGGTTTTGCAAATGCTTTCGGGTTTAGACGAGTCTTAGTAGCAGAGTGTGTGCCCTTTACCGTTTTGATGTCTTGCTGCGATATAGCCCCCGAAACCCGATATCCTAAGCCTTAATTAAAACATTGAAATCATTAAATTAAAGCAAGTAAGGATTCCATCTCGTTGCCCACGACATTGGCGCCGTCATCGGCTGGCTTTTCTTAGGCTCGAAACGCTGGCGCCGGCGAGTAGTAAGCTTTACCAGCCTCTCGGTGCAGGGTTGGGCTTTGGGATTCAGGGTTTAGGGTTGATTTTTCATAGATCCTAGTTTTAGGGCTTAAGGATTACTGTCAAAGTGTGTCTTCGCAGTGTAGGGTTGGCGATTCTCGGTTTCAGGTTTAGGGACACCCCCTTTGCATTAAACTGATGTCATGTACGGGGCCAGGGAATCCAGCAAGCGGCTGCGTAATATAGGGTTCTGTTTGGGGCTACCCCGGTTCTACAACTTACACCCTAAGACCTGTGATCGCAAGGGAGGCAGCTCAGGGTTTGGATTCCAAGGTTTAGGGTTTGTGTAAAACCATCAGACCGCCCGATTTAAGAGAGTATAGTACCCTACCCCCCTCATTCCTATGACGGTTTGTTCCCACCAAGGCTTGGCAGTTCCCCACCCGGTGGCTTTCTCGAAGGGTCTCTTCGGCGAGACAGCCGACCTGGAGCAGAAGGCGGATTCCTTACGTCTCGTTATAAGGTCCCCATGAGACAAAGGGAGACTATCGCTTGCTCTTCCGCCAAAGCTCCCTGAACGTTAAACACGTTATACCTTGGATTCGGCAAGACTACAGCACAGTTGCTGCCTGATACAGACCTAGAACTGATTACTTCTGCATCGAAGCAACCCCCCTCTCCGCTCCCTCCCTCTCCCTCTCCCTCTCCCTCTCCCTCTCCCTCTCCCTCTCCCTCTCCCTCTCCTTCTCCCTCTCCCTCTCCCTCTCCCTCTCCCTCTCGCTCTCGCTCTCGCTCTCGCTCGCTCTCTCTCTCTCTCTCTCTCTCTCTCTCTCTCTCTCTCTCTCTCTCTCGCTGCCCCTTGCTCTCTCTTGGAAAGTTTAGAAAGAAGCATTGGGGAATAGGAAGACTGTAGCCCAAAGGGATTCAGGGCATAAGGCCTTGAGTGATCATAGGGTACCGTCGCAAAGCATGGTATAGTATCGTGTCGTATAATACGGTATATAGCATGGCATTGTACAGAAAGCTATACCATAAAATAACATACTATAACACAATATCAATATAGCATGAATCATGGACAACCAGAGCACTAAGGCGGCATCGGCCTATTTCAATTTCTTCACGCGTCCGAGCTCTGCTTCTCTCGCCAACAACACGCTGCAGAACGGCCTGTCATCGAATGTGTTCTTGTGGTTTGGGATGTCTAAGGTTTAAGGGTGGAGGGTTGAGGGCGTGTTTTCATTCAAGGTGTAAGGATTGTGGAGGCCTTTCAGTCCATCTTCCTAAAATAGCCGGTTTCCGTCATGATATTTGGCACTCAGCCACAAGGTACGAGTTCTTGGGCGCCCCTTTCGCTCCGTCCCAGACCTCCATGACCCCACCGGGCCCTGGGTGGGAGTCACCGGAAGCGTTTCAGAGGGCGTTGTGGTGGTACAATGCAATCATCCCTCGATGGATGGCGGAAGGTCCATTGCTCTCCGTGGCGGAGCTGGCTCAACTGGGCTTTCAGCAGATGGCTGCTTTGCTTCAACTTCTGGGTGGTGACCCAACCGCAGGCAAGGCTGCAGAGAAGCGTGCTGCAAGCATTTCTGCGCCCACCCTTTTCATTTGCGGGAGCGAAGATCATGCAATCCTCTGCACGAGACCCTTCTCAAGGGCAACGCAGCAGTTTTGCAAAGGCAGCTATGAGTTTTTGGAGGTCAAGTGTGGGCATGATCCCCAGCATTGCCAGGACCCAAACCAGACTAAAATCGTGACAGATGCCATTCTCGACCATGTCGAGAAGAATTCGCATTGGAGATATGCTTCTCCCAGGTGAACTCACATTGTAAAGCAATATCCTCAGCTGGGCCCCAGTTGCCTGAAGAGTACCTCAACCCGGACGCTGAATCCCTAGACCCGTTAAGCCTCTAAGCCCAATCCCGCCCCAAACCAAACAGAATACAAATCCCCTGGTCACTCGGGCCTACGTGGATGCCGCGGCTCCAATGCCCGCAGACGTTCCTGTTTTGAACCCTCTGGCTCCGTATACGCATCGTTTCAGGCTTTCGGGCCTGAAGATCATGGGCTGTGTTGAGCCTTAGGGAAGAGGTCGAAAATCCCAGTGCGAAGTCGCTTGGGAGCGTTTCAAAAAGCACACCTTCGAGAGCTAAGACCCCAAGCCCCTCATCCCAAGCCCAAAGCTAAGACTTGTAATTACCGGATTTGTCAGTGGCACGTTGCCGATGCCATGAAGACTCTCCCAGCATAGCAGACTTCGCCTGAGCTTGAGGTTTTCGGGTTCTGGTCTCAGTTGGAGGGTTTTCGGTGCAGGGTCTGTGGTTGCGGGCTTAGGGTACAGAGTACCGGGTTAACTCCAGTCGAAGGTTTGGGATTTAGTGCTCTGAGCAAAGGTTTTTGTTGTGAAGGCATAGTCTTGGCTGCAGCTCTCATTAGGATCAACCCTCAACCTCACAACCTCAACCTACTGCAAGCCCTGAAAGCCTAAACCCTAAACCCAAACCTCAACCCTACAAAGCCCTGAGCCCTAAATGGCCTTAAACCCAACCCTAAACCCTAAACCCCAAACCTAAACCCCAAACCCAAACCTCAACCCCGGACCCTCGTTTAGCGAAGTACACAGCGCGGCTTGAAGCATGTCGCCGCGACGGCATCGGCTCCGCAATGCTTTCAAGGCGCTGCCTTCGTATTTTGAGCTTAGGGTTGAGGGGGGGGTTGTGGGGGTTTAGGGGTTGAGGGTTTGGGGAATTCGGGAGGTTTGTTTTGGAGGGGTTCCGGGTTCCGAGATTCGGGCTGACGGGTTCAGGGTTTACTTGCATCGAAGGCCTGGCTTTTCGATTTCTCGCTGGTTTTCGGGGCATCCGTTCGGGTATCAAGGGTAAAATTCCTGTGTGTTGTTCAAGAGCCATGAACCCAAAACCCGATCGCTGTTCCCTGCTTACTCATACTATATAATAATTATACGTCGGAGGATTGAGAGTTTGATCGGATTTCAAGCCTGGAGCCACCTGCAACATTCCTGAAGCCGTGCAAAGACCCGGATCCTATCCATGCCGCTTGCAAACATTAGCTTAAACCCGATAAACCCCTTTCCCCCTTTCTGAATGCACATTGGATTCTTCCGTAAACTTGCCAACCTACCCGAACCCCCCCCCCCCCACAGCCTTCAAAATCCCCAGAACCTTCAAACCAAAAACCATCCCAAGCTCGTCACCCAAATAGCGCCGTGAAGGCCGTTTGTGGCCTGTCAGCTGCGCTGACGCTCCTGTGGCTTGATTGTAGTGTTTCTGGGCTCTGCAGGGGTGTCAACTTAGGTATATTTGGGTTTTCGGAGTCGCCCCTAAACGCTCAACCCTTAACCTTTAAACATCCCCGAACCCTTACAGCAAATGCTTAAACAAACTCTTTAACCCTCAACCGCCAAAAGAGCCAAAACCCCTAGCCGTCCTAGCGGAGTCTTCAGGAGATTTTGGCTGCCTGAAGTAATGTCCAGCTCTCTGCAGCAGATCAGAAATGCCTTGCAGAGGCACAATGTCAAAACACTGAAATGTAGGGGTGTTGGGGTATGCGAAAGACTGGCTAGAGACATTTTGGGACTGTTACCATCCCTTTCTGTATTATCCAGACCCTGCACTGCACCTGAAAACTTACGGCTTGGTTTTTTTTCGCAGCGCTCCGTCTGACTTTTGGGTTTACATTCGAGATCCCAGGAGTCTAGATATACGTATAATACAGATGCATAATATCCATAGCTGACATCTACACTCTGGTCCTTCTGCTATCTTCCCGGCTACGAACCCTTGTAGCTGGAACCGTTGGTACTTCGCCACAGCCAGTCTTCTGCAAGGCTCCATTGCTTCGTATCGCCACCCGCCGGGCCACCGCACGGCGTCGCAGAGTGGCATGGAGAGAAAGTGATAGGGGATGACATTTCCTGTGGAGTCTGCGATAGGTTTCCAGAGATGAAGATGCGTGCTTGCCATCCCGTGCTGATCGCAATGTTTCAGGCGGAGCCTGTCTCAGCTCTCGCAAGACTTCTGTCTAGATGTTCATTGTCGTTGTTTAGCCACACTACCACCAATGCCACCACATTACTACTACTACTACTACTACTCCTCCTCCTCCTCCTCCTCCTGCTGCTCCTGCTGCTGCTGCTGCTGCTGCTGCTGCTGCTGCTGCTGCTGCTGCTGCTGCTGCTGCTGCTGCTGATACAACTACTGCTACTACTGCGATGCAGGTGGAGGGAGAATCGGAGATTAGCTTGTGCCATGGCCCCTGAGCCTCCCTTCTGGAAATTTGAGAGCTTTCAGCTTTAAACTAAACCCCATGGACCCCTTGAAGCCCAAGACAACTCAGGCGCAGTGCGTCTGAGCCTCCACTGCGTCGCCACGCAGCGCCGACTGGATCTGCTGAGAGGGAGCGAGGTCGAGGCTTGTGGTTGGTGCTAAGGGTTTTCCATGGATCTAGACTTTTATGACGGCAGTATGCGGTTCTTCTGTTTAAGGTCCAAAAAAAGTCTTGCTTTAAGGGTGTGTGTGTGTGTGTGTGTGTGTGTGTGTGTTTGTGTCTAATTAAACCCTAGTCTAATTATTAAGGCCTCTATATTAGTTCCAAACTTTGTACACCCCTTGTCAAAAGCTGTAAACCGTCAGCCCTGTTCTATTCGGGGCTCCCTGCACGGCCGAGAATGCCCCGCCCTTAGGAATCCCGAAATTGTGCCCTGGGTTTGCGGATCAGGGTCGCGGTTGAGGGTTGAGGGTTTTGGGTATTAGGTGCTTGGTTTCAGGTCCTGCCCTTGACAATCCGAAAGAAGATGGTGTGCCGGCTGCGGCAGGAGCCAACGCACCTTGCCGAGAGTAATTAGCTCATTGATTCTAGAGAAGTTAGTGCAGGTGCCCGAACAACTCGAAATGCTGCCTCAGATGTCTCTGTTTTCATACAGTATATGCCATACACCAACATCTGGTCCGAATTTTTCAGACCCGTACGTTTGATTCCAGGTGGTCTTGCCATGACCATGTGGAACAAATCGACTGCTCCAGTGACCCTACCCAGAGGCCCCATAGTAGTTCCTGTTTAGGATTACCTCATAAGATTCTAAATGGGTAGTTGTCAAAAATTCAGGTCCCTTTTTGGGTACCCTAAATAATAGGTGCCGTATTATAATAGGGAAAAGGACCATAATTTTGACAACCACCCAAATATGAACCCCCCCAAAAAGGAACTACTTTTGGGGCCTTAGGGTCAACCTCAGATCTGGTAGCACCTTGGAGCTTCGCTCCCCCTGTCGCCCGATACCTTAACCTACCAAAACCTACTTTTTTGTAGGGTCCCTATAGATTCCATCTTAGGGTTCGTAATAAGAACCTACAACAAAGTAGGGTTTGGTAGTTTAAGGTAGTTGATGGCGCACCCAGACTCGAAAAACTCGCAACTCCTCGGGTTTACGGTTTAGGGATTTAGGGTGTTGGGCTTTTTTGTGGTGTTATTCCTTAACCCGCAGCCAAACACCCAGAGGTGCTGAGCTGGGTGCTTTCTGGCCTCAGCGCCGTCTACTTGGCTCAGTTCGCGCCCCTTGTTCCTGTTTGTTGTGGCAGGAATCGCAGTCAGGAGGAAGGGAGCAGCATGTGAGCTCGGTGTAAGGTCTCGAAGTCAGGTTCGCGACTGGACTTTGGAACTTTGATGTTGCAGCATGCGGTGTTCTGGCCTCATGGCTTTGCAGTCGGGTATTTGGCCCATGACCAGTGCACAACAGAAAAGGGTCATAATTATTTGCAGTATCCCACCATTGGCAGTACATATGGTAACAAAGCTGTGCTGAGGGATCCCTTAAAGGCCCCCACGCTGCAGCGTGCAACAATGGGGCCTCTCCCTGAAGCTGTTGATTACTCTTTGGAGGATCGGTCCAACTGAGTAGATCAGATCTCCCAAGCCCGTCACCCTCATAAGTTCTAGGGCTAAACCCCAAACCCCATTTCCTTCCATCTGCTCTGGCCCTTTGCACTCTAAAGAAGCCGAAACATGCTGCAGCATCCTCTGGGCTTACCCTGGCCATTCCTATTTAGGGGTTTAGGGTTTAGGGTTTAAGGTTTAGGGGTTTAAGGGTTTAGGGTTTAGGGTTCCTATGTGGGGGTTTAGGGCATAGAATGTACGAGAATTCTGTCCCGAAGCCCTTAGTTAGCCACTGGTCACTTAAACCTTGCACCCAGACCCTAGAAATTGGAATTCAACCCTTTTTTAGCCCCAGACCTGGATCCTAAACTTCATATTAGCATCCCTGCCCCCGAGCCCCAAACAGTGAGAATCCAGCTGCACAGCACGATACAATCTGGTAAGCGGCTTCCTTTCTCACTTATCACCTCCCAGAACACCCCGGATAAGCTTAAATGTTGGGCCTTGCACCTTGCCCGAACCCGTGAAACAGTGTTATAGACCCCTTGCAAAACGACATACAGTGTACCCAGAGGCCCCATAGTAGCTTCTTGTTGGGATTACCTCATAAGATTCTAAATATGAACCCCAAAAAGGAGCTACTTTGGGGCCTCCCCCCCTCCTAAACCCGAGACCGCCACATCAATGCTAGGTCCTCCCTTGTCAGCAAAGCAAGACATCAGAACTCCCATCTAAACACACCTAGAGCCACATAACACGGAGAAGTTTATAGAAAGAGACCTTGTAAAGCCCCATCTTACCACGCAGAACCACCCTAGAACCCAGCCAGGTCCTTCTACTGTCAGTGCCCGGGCCTCATTGGCTCCTCTGGCCTTCAGCCCTTAGTGGCCCGGCCCGAGGCGAATCTCCGCGGGGCCGGGGGGGGGGGGGGGGAAGTGACGCAAAGTAAGTAGGGGTGCAAGAGAGATGAGTCTGTTTACTTCTAGCCTTATAGACAAGTAAGATATAGAGCAATAGACTACAGTATATGGCATTTCATTACATTATGCGTTACATCATGTTATGTGTTATGCTATACACTTGAGATTGCATGTTGTTTGTATTGCATTACATTGTATTTTCTTATGTTATATGAATATTGTGTTGTATTGTATTGTATCCAACCACCCCCAATCCGAAGCTCAATAGCTACGACGCCCCCTGTGAAACTCCGGAGCCCTAAGCCTTCCACCCCAAAGAAGCTGGAGAAGTCAAGCCCCTACCCACGTGCAGCCTATTTGTGATATTCTTAAAATCCCTGAAGCCCTGTTCCAGTAAACTCAAGCCCCAAAAAGATCCTGGCTCCAGTAAGTAAGGCCCCCGAGCTTGTCCGGAAGGATGTGGACCGTACTTGGCTTCTGCACTTCGTTAGCTCGCCGGAGCTTGGCGTGGAGGCCCAGGGGTTCGAGGGCCCTTAGAGCTTCAGGGTTCATAGGGGCTTAAGGGAATTAGGGGTGTAGGGGTTTAGGGATTTAGGGGTTTAGGGGTTTAGGGCTTTGGGGTTTAGGGGTTTTCGGGGTTTAAGGGTTTAGGCTATGGGTGGTTTGGGGTCTTGGCTCCAGGCTTTAGAGCCTGAGGTTTCGGGTAAAGGATGGTGTTGGTGCTTAGGATTTGGAGTTCAGGGAAAGTAATGTAGGAACCCGATTAAGAAACCCGGGCCTATAACCCCCCAAAATAGTAGGATTCATATAAGGAACCCTAATAAAGGCCCAAGGTTTCTGAATCAGGTTCCTACATTAATCATTAATCATGATCCCAAGAAGAGCTCGATATCGGGGCCTTAGCAGTTACAGTAAGCTTTAAACGGGTGTGTTGCAGTAGAGCTACTTGTAGGGGCGGTCAGGGGATAGTATCGAACCCCATAAACCCGAAACCCGAAGTCCCTTAAACCATCAAGCCTTAACCCTTATACCCCGAAGCCCTACACCCTTGAAGAGGTCCTTCATAGATGTTTCAGCTGCGCAGGCCTTCGGATTGGTTGGGACGGTGCTGGCAGCGCTACAGCTGGCAATGCCCCAGGCGCTTCGGCTTTGGGGCTTTTGGATTTTAGGATTTGGCTTTGGGGCTCTTGGGTTTTAACATTCTGGGTTTTTGGGGCTGTAAGGTTGCAAGTTCTACCATGATACCCTAATACCCTATACCCTAATGCCCTAATACCCAAATACCCAATACCCTATAAATCCTAAACCCTAAACCCTTATAAGCCCTAAACCCTAAACCCCTAATTAAACGCCCAGCTTGCTGGCCTTCGCAGGCCATGCTGCGGCACGGACCGGCGGGAGCCACCATCTTCGCCTTTCTCTGGTGGTGCCGCTCTTTAAGTGGGAATTTCCGAAAGTAGGAGGCCCTAAGATAGTACCCTAAACAGTAGGATCCCTATTATTAGTTAAATTACAGGGACCCCAAAATAAGGTGCCCTAATTTTCGAAAGCTGCCAAATCTGCCGTCCTTCAAAGGCTTGCTTCATTTAGCTGATCGTGCCTCCTAAACCATAAACACCTAAAGCCCTACACCCTAAACCCTTATAGTGCGTATGTCCTGAGTTTATAGCTCGATATCACACGCTCAAATCCTGAAGAAAAGATCCTACCAGCCATAGTGTCTGTTGAGGTGCTGGCACGACCTTGTGATAGCTGGTGGGCGATTCACCTGCTATCAGGCTCGATTTTTGTGTGGTGCTTCAGGGTTTTTCTGTCTAGGGTTCGGGTTGCGGTGCAGCGGATACATCATACTTCTCACGACGCCATGCACCCTCGCCAAGTCTTCCTCCAATGCTCGTCCGTGAGGCGGTGCTGGCAAAGATCTAGGAACCCGAAACCCAAACACTGGACTGGGTTTAGGGTTGCCGGGCCCTTAAGCCTGAACCCTGAACCCACACCTCCGCCCAGATGGATGTCATCGTCCTGGACGCTGCGCCGTTGACCATTCTGGCAGCACTGGGACTAGAGACGCAGGCAGGCTAGGAGCCGTGTTGTTGTTGGGCTTAGGGTTTAGAATGCAGGATCTTAGGCTTCCAGGGCACTTCCATTGAATGGAGAAACGCAGAAGTTAGCATGGCAACTGTAGAAGTATCATCACACATTCTGGACATGGGCGCTGACACGCTCTAGGTGAGTGAATGCCCTTTATGCTCCAAGCCCTACAACCGGATAGATTCATGTATACAGCTGCGATATCTGCTGCAGGCCACCGTTTTTGGTCTGCGATGGCTTCTCTTACGTCTCTACCTGGGCCACTGGCCTATGGCTTGAAGTGGAGCTTTTCGATTATGACGAATGCCCCTTTGTGGTACCCTCACTTTTCGGTAGCACTGGGCGGAGTTTGTGCGATCCCGTACATACCGAAACCCCGTATTGGTATATTTACTCATCCCAAGGGTAAGCTACCAGCTGCAAACTGAGTCACTAGTTGGAGTTTCAGTAGAGAAAGAGCCTTTTCTTCGGTGTTTTTCGCAGTTCCGCTTCCCAGTTTCTTCGTCTATTCCCAGAGATGTTCTTCTGTTGCTTGTTTGATCCACGGGCTTTCATGAGGGTATCAGCGGCACTCCAATACCGCTTATAAGGAGTACTAAGGGTTGTATAGGGGTTCTAAAGGTTCTTCAAAAGGGCCTTAATCGGGCCTGTGAAGAATAACAGTTATATATATATATATATATATATACATATATGCTCACCCCCCCCGGTGACAGACCACGGGTCTAAAAAACACCGTGCACAACGATATTCTGTGAAGCAAAACCGTTACATGAGGTATATAGTATAGCACCAGACGTGCGGCACATGAGTTACGTAATAGTCTTGTGGTAGTATCGGTATTAGGGTGAGTATTGTTATTAATATTAGTACTATTGCTTGCTGTAAGTATACGTATCAATATTGCCAACTATAAATTAGTGTTAGTGCTCATGTTCGTGTTAGAGTTAGCGCTAGTGCCAGTGTCAATGTCAGTAATACAGCACCACTGCTACGAGTAGTATCAGTATCAGTCTTAATGCTGGGTTTAACAGCAGCTTATATTCGCAGAAGTGCTAGTATTAGTATCAATATTAGAACTAGTTAGTTTTGATATGTTAGTATATTGATAGTCTCGTATATTAGCAGATTAGTATATCAATACATCAATGTATTCGGACAGCAAAATATTTGCATACTTGTATACTAGTATATTTTACATGTTAGTACAACTGGTGCATGACTACACTACTATACTGCTGTATTAGCTTACTAGTATATTGACATACCAGTATATTCGTACGTTAGCATATTAGTGTACGAATATGTGTACTATATTACTGTTTTATCTAATCATGTATAAGTATATCAGTATGTTGGCATATTAGTATACGAACTTGTCATGTCGGTATTCTTGCATAGTGCAGTAGCCGTATATGATTATAGTCACATATTCGTATAGTATATTCATACAACAACGAGAAGTATATTGATACATTGGTATATGGGTATATGCCTATGCCAAAGCATTAATACATGAATGCACTGATGTATATATCTGTATCTTAAGATAGTGGTACGTATTTTATGTACATGAGTATATGCAGGTGTCTATTAGTAATGGTATTAGTTTTCATATCAATATGAATATACTATTGGTATTCGTAGGAGTATTAATGTCAATACTAGTAGAAGTAGGACTATTTATACTCGTAATAGCCATAATATGAATGTTCATGCTGGTAATACTAGTGGCATTCTTGAATATGCAGCAGATTATCAAAGTCCGTATTAGTGTTGGTGATAGCACTACTGTTAACGCACAAGGGTTTACGTATTCGTATTCGTAGGAGTATAAATAGCTATGTAAATATTGATGTTAGTATAGATTTTGTGTTAAGTATTAGCAGTAGTGTTAGCGTTAGTACTAGCATATTATTGATGATATACATTCGAAAGAATGTTTGTATTGTTATTACTCTTGACCACGTGAAATTCTAACAGTTGAATTCATGAGTGAGTTAAAGGATTTGTATTTTAATATGGTGGTATGCATGTTTATGTACATTAGTACATACAGGTGTGTGTTAGTATTGGTATTATTATACATTATTATCAATATGAATATGGTTATTGATATGCGTAGGAGTACTAAGAGCAATACTAATCAATCTTAGTATTTGTGTTATGCATATTCGTACTAAGCTTTATAGAAGTGTAATATTAGTAGTAATGCTGGTATTAGCTTGAGCATTCAACAAATGATCAATGTCAGTATGTTCAATGGCAATACTATATGTAGGAGTATCAATACATATATGTATATATAGATATACAGATAGATAGAGAGATATTCGTGTAAATATGGGCATGAGTATTGACAGCCCTTGCCTTTGCAAGTAATCTGGTCCGATGCGGAGACTAGCACGACAAGGCGCGCGGGTGTCCTACCAAGAAAGGAATTACAGAGCACACGTGTATGGATGAGGGTTGTGCTGATACACTACATAGTAAGCACTACACAGTAATCTTACTTGAGTCATATATAGAACAGATTCCAGCATTTCCAAAATTTCCAAAATTTCCAAAATTCTCTCCCCTAATTTCCAAAATTTCCAAAATTTCCGAAATTTCCAAAATTTCCAAAATTTCCAAAATTTCCAAAATTTCCAAAATTTCCCGACCTAGTCGACAGGATTTTTCCAAAACATAAGGGCGGACTTTTTGGAAATTTTGGAAATTTTGGAAATTTTGGAAATTTTGGAAATTTCGGAAATTTTGGAAATTTTGGAAATTTTGGAAATTTTGGAAATCCGGAAAGTTAGGGGAGAGAATTTTGGAAATTTTGGAAATTTTGGAATTGAGGCTTTGAAAGCTGAGTGCCCCCTCCCCCCGATCACAGACCATGCGCTACGACTGAGTCGAAAGGGCATGGTCTGTCATGGGGGGGGGGGTGACCATATATATATATATATATCCTAAACCATGTAGGGCTTACTGTTATGATTTCGGGTGTGCTCCTCAATCAGGGGTCTCAGAGGAGAAGCATCTATGCGAAACTGAACTCAAGACGTTTGAAAGTGCCCAGAAGACGTTTCTTCAAAACCTTCTTCATAATACTGATCGTCACGATCATGAGCATCCTAGGATAAACGGCCCGGCCCACATCATAGCCTGCAGTTGCGTGATCCTTGAGTATTCGGTTTCATTTAATCAGGGTTTACCAGACGAGTCATATCCTACTTCTTGTGTAGGGTACTTACTTTTCTATATACTTCAAAGAAGGGTGAGGGCATGCCCGCTCTACGTACATCCAGCTGCTCAATGCTTTTTTGTCCAGCCTTCCTGAGGTGGAGGTGCCGTAAAGCTGCTCAGCTGCGACGAGAGCTGCTTGGCTTTGGGTTGAGGGTTTAGGGTCCTGAAGGGTTTAGGGTTTTCTGGGTTGGAGTTTTGCGTTTTAATTGTTTTAGTTCGGGTTTTAAGGTTGAGGGAGGAAGGACCCGTTTAGGACGAAGTGCTGCAGCCTCAGTGAAGTGGAGTATGCTGTGAGGGCTTTGGGTTATGAACCCTCAGCCCCCAAACCTCAAGGCCCCAGAGCCGTTTAAACCAAAAGTTGAGTTCAGGAAAACCTGGGAAACCCAAAACATGAGATGAGCCAGCGCTTTCTCAGGTTGGCGGAACCTCTCCGCCCTCCACTGGCACTTTCAATCGCAGCCCTTGCCGAACCCTCTGGGGAACGCTGCCCACCTATTCATGCCAGACTCGATCAGCCCTTTGCTTGAGGATTTAAGGTTTGGGGTGTAGGATTGCACTTTGGTTTGTCGGTTGGGCTGAGTAAGCATTTGTGGGTTGAGGGGTGTTTTGCGGTGTAGAGGTTTGAGGGTGTTAGGGGCTGCCGTGTAGTAGATGGCGACGGTTAGCGATTGTTGTAATTATTGTTATTGAAGTTCTTGCCTTTTGTTAAATGGCTTGGGGATACGGTTCCCTCAAGTTGGGGCTTGCTTCGAGGATTCGCAGTTGCTTACTTATCCCTCGGACCTCCTGCGCTCGAAGCTCCCTCGTCAGCTCGGCCGAGGTCTCTTCAAGATCCGAAACTTCCATGTGGGAGTTTCCCAACATAGGGGACCCTATTCTAGTACCCTAAATAGGAGGATCCTTCTTGTACAAGAACCCCAAAAGAAGGTACCCCAAATTTTCGGAAACTCCCATATCGTCGGCCCCAAATCTAGAGCCCGGCTCTTCCAAGCCGAAGGGCCTCAACTACTAAACCCTTAAGCTCAACCTCGAAGCCTAAGCGTAAGAGCTGAGATGTAGGTATGTATGTACGTATGTGTTAATGATGTCCGGACCGGACTCATGGCCCCGCATGTCATGTAATGTAGTGTAATGTATGTATGTATGTATGTATGTATGTTTGTATGTATGTATGTATGTATGTATGTATGTATGTACTCTCGGTGTGTGTGCGTATATATATATATATATGTATGTATTAAATCAACTCTACCGAAGCCTGAATCCTAGAGTTCATCAGCCTGGCAGAGGCCATGCATCGACGCTGTTTGCCCTCGTCGTGGAGATCGGTCCCTCACCAGCTTTTCGGTGTAGGTCAGTGCAGCGTGGAGCATTGCTGGGGTCTTTGATTTTACAGGGAGATCTATCTCAGGGCCCCTTCGTTTCTGAACCACTAAGACCCTGTAGCACAGAGTCTTTACGGGCCTCTGTGAGCCATCCACTGTTTAGGATTTCGGGCAAATGATAGTTCGTGCAGTCTGCCACAGCTTGGCTTAGGAAGTCTGCCACATTTGCGTTAGATCCATGTGCATAACGATGCCGGGCGATGAATGAACGAGATCAGAAATTTTGAGGTACGTGAATGAGTATCACATTTTCAGCTTGTTTGCACGCTTCAGGCAGAGGCTCTTACACCAGGGCGATCCTTTGATTGACGCGACAAAGATAGATGCACCTGTGGATGACGGGGGCTAGAGGCAGCACCATGAGCATCATTGGACCTCCGTTTCCCTCTATAGCCTTATTCCGCAGCGCCAGCGCCAGCCCCCAGCGCCCAGCGCCAGCGCCAGCGCCGGCGCCAGCGCCAGCGCCAGCGCCCCAGCGCCAGCGCCCCAGCCCGCGCCAGCGCCAGCGCCCCAGCGCCAGGCGCCCTAGCCCCAGCGCCAGCGCCAGCGCACCAGTGCCATCGCCAGTGCCAGCACCAGCGCCAGCGCCAGCGCCAATGCTAGCGCCAGCGCCATGCCAAGCCCCAAGATCAGCGCCGATGCCAACGTCAATGCATGCGCCCGCGCCAGCGCCAAACAACAAGCCATGAAACATAGAAACAACAGCAACAACAACAACAACGACAACAACAACGACAGCAACAGCAACAGCAAAAGCAAAAACAAAAACAACAGCAACAGCAACAGCAACAGCAACAGCAACAACAACAACAACATCAGCAACAACAACAACAACAACGGCAACAACTACCAACAACCAACAACCAACAACCAACAACCAACAACCAACAACCAACAACCAACAACCAACAACCAACAGCCAACAGCCAACAACCAACAACCAACAACCAACAACCAACAACAACAACCACAACAACAACAAGCACAACAACAGCAACAGTAACAGCAACAGCAACAACAGCAACAACAGCAACAGCAGCAACAACAACAACAATAATAACAGCAATAGCAACAACCGCAACAACAACAACGGGAACAATAACAACAACAGGAACAACAACAACAACAACAGCAACAACAACAACAACAACAACAACAACAGGAACATCAACAGCAACATCAACAGCAACAGCAACAGCAAAAGCAACAGCAAAAGCAACAGCAACAACATCAACGGCTACAACATCCGTCGCCGTCACAGCAACAACGACAAAAACACGAACACAACATCAGCAACAACAGCAACAACCACAACCAGAATCACAACCACGACCACACAACCCTAGTCGCAGTAGTAGTAGTAGTAGTAGTAGTAGTAGTAGTAGTAGTAGTAGTAGTAGTAGTAGTAGTAGTAGTCGTAGTAGTAGTAGTAGTAGTAGTAGTAGTAGTAGTAGTAGTAGTAGTAGTAGTCGTACTAGTAGTAGTAGTAGCAGCAGCAGTAGCAGTAGCACCAGCAGCAGCAGTAGCAGTCGCAGTAACAGTAGCAGTAGCAGTAGCAGTAGCAGTAGCAGTAGCAGTAGCAGCAGCAGTAGCAGTAGCAGTAGTAGTAGTAGTAGTAGTAGTAGTAGTAGTAGTAGTAGTACTAGTACTAGCACTAGTAATACCACTACTCTAGTACTAGTACTAGTAACAGTAGTAGTAACAGTAGTAGTAGTAGTAGTAGTAGTAGTAGTAGTAGTAGTAGTAGTAGTAGTAGTAGTAGTAGTAGTAGTAGTAGTAGTAGTAGTAGTAGTAGTAGTGTAGTAGTAGTAGTAGTAGTAGTAGTAGTAGTAGTAGTAGTAGTAGTAGTAGTAGTAGTAATAGTAGCAGTAGTAGTAATAGTAGTAGTAGTAGTAGTAGTAGTAGTAGTAGAGTTATTCCGACCCCAAACACAGAAGCAACTATGTTAGGGCAGGAACAAGGAGGAAAGGGAAGGGAAACGCCAAAAGGAACCCCGACCCCGAACGCAGAAGCACGACTCAGTGCGCCTCTTTTCATCTTGAGCCAAACGAAGTTGGCGTGAATCATGTCACAGAAGTTGCATAGTCAGGTAACATTACTTTACATGGAGGTTGTACGCAATTCTTCAACTCCCCCCTCCTGACTTGAAAAATCTGTACATCAATGCAAATGGATCCATTTAATTAACGAACTGAGGAAAACAACCTGCCGTTGATTTCTTGACCGATGTGTCACGACACGGTCAGTGACGGTTGATTCCATGACCAGCCTGATGTGGCGTAAGGAGCAGCCAAACAACCAGGTGGTCTTGACAAGTGAAGCTTAGCTTCGAGGGCATAAAGTGCTCAGCATCATAACCCGATTTAACATCCAATCCAACCCAAGCTTAGCTATATGAGGGTAGAATGGAAGTTGACATTGTCAACAGTTGGAGCGCATGAGACCATTTCTGGACTGCCAACGCTTTGGTGAGAGGGTCACCTCTCTGCTCACTCGTGTGGATACACTCCAGAACGACATTGGAGTTGTCATTGACATATTCACAAGTCGATGACACGTTCACACGGTGGGTTTTGCCTAAATGGCGGAGTTTGGAACTGAATCCTTTTCTGACGATTGCAATGCAAGCCTGATTATCCTCGTAGATATGCAAGCAGATCCCGGGGATGAGGGCCTCCCAGACTTCATGTAAGGGAATTGCATCGTTGTACAGAGCTCCGCTTAGTGAAACGAACTCTGCTTCAGTACTTGACCGAGATACGACCTTTTGACGTTTACTCGACCATGATAACAAAGCGAAGCTTCCTGGGCCTTCGATAGCCAACACGTATCCGCTGGTAGACCGGGACGTGTCAATGCAGCCGGCGAAGTCGGAATCACAGTAGAGTGACAATCGTAAATCCGAAGGAGAATCGCTGATGCACAAAATCAATGCGTAATCGACTGAATGAAGAATGTAACCGATTAATCGATGAACCCGACGGTCATCGTTCTTGGACCAGCTGCAGACATGCGAAGCAAGCGTTGTGACAGCCACAATCAAGTCGGGCCGACTTAACCTTGCAAGCCATAACACCTTCATTAAGATTTTCGCGGCCAATTTGGTAAGTTGTCCGCGGCAATCGTCGTCTGCTGCAGGTAGTGTGCTAATGTCGAGATGAGGAGTAAGCTGAGGTTTAACCTTCAGCGAACATACAGTCTCGTACAATTGAACACACTGTTTTGCGAAATCTGCTGATTCAAGTGCGAGTGCTTTCTTTTCTTGCCAGCACACAAATCTGTGGCTTCTTCCAAGTACCCTTGAAAGGGGTGCATACGGCTCGAGCTCGACCTCCTTGGAGAGGGAGCGCCAGAAGTCGTCATGCAGGGACCGACGTCCAGACAAAGTCAAGTCGTCTACGTAGACGCATAAGACTAATCCTAGGGACTTGAAGTAGTAAACCGAAGGGAGATTTGGAAATTCAACCCCGCCTAGCTTAAACAGAATCTCATGGAGATGCTGCTGCCAATAGGCGGAACTTTCGGGGTGCCCATACAACGCTTTGTGAAGGGGCGCGCATGGTTGGAAGATATGCTTCTTGTCAGGTGGGACAAGCTCTGGAGGTAGGAGGACGTACGTGCGGTGCTTCGTCTTGAGCTTGGCTTGAGTGTAAGCTCGAACTGCGTCGCTGGTCGTCACACCATGGGACTCCAGCAGGCCGAAGGCCACAGCTGTGTTCAATCCTTCCAGAGAGGATGGAGATGATGCGAACAGCTCTTCAAATACAGCAGACATGCCGGATTGGTCCCTGATGTCATCACCCCTGAAGACTATTCTTGCTTTGAGACGCCACTGATCTGGACTCAGCTCAGATCCTTTTACGGATAAAATGACCATCAAATTTCCGAAGTGGATCACATTAGAAGTCCTAGTAGCCCAAGCAAGAACATCCTTTTTGGACACTATCTCATCTTCAAGCCACGTCCCAACATCAACAAGGCCATCTTTCTCTTTCTTTATTGCCTCGTAGGCTCCTGGTTGCCCCGACCATTCTTTTCTATCGAGAAGGCGGTGAACTAAACCCGGAAGCTTAGCCTCTTTCATCCTAGACTCATGCATAAGAACATCAAGAGGAACTTTGGGTTTAGAATCCTTTTCACGATGGAGCTGTGGCAAGGAAGGAACACACGAGAGCGCTGGCGTCTGGAACGCCTCGGCAAAAGGGAACAAAGACATGAGCAGCACTTTGTGGAATGCCTCAGGATAGAAGGCTACCCGTGGCCAAAGCGTACTCGATGAGCAATGCTTGACATTTGAAGCGTGAGTGCATTTGAAAGGTTTGAAGTTCTCGACTAGCCGCTTGCTCGAAGACATGATTTGCCATGCAGCGTCAAACGGAGCTCCTGATGTCAAAACCATACCTAGAGCACAGCCCTTGAACGAAACTCTACGAAGGCTGAATTGATCCTCGAAGGCTTGAACTTCGGGAAGCAACCAACACGTGGAGTCTTGTGGCCATTCGAGAGAGATTTCGCCACCATTGGAAACGATGACTGAAGCAACCTGAAGAAAACCCAGCAAAGTCCTCTGAGCCTTCCAGTGAACATACCCAGAGTATCTAGCTCCCCATCCGTCACCTAACAGTGAACCAACCAGACAACATCCCGGAACAGCAGACACTTGGCTGATGAGCTGATCGATGACAACCGGATCAGACAGATCAACACGGTCACATGAGATCGAGATCACTTGAACGCCTGATCCTTTGGCAATGCCGGCAAGATTGGACCGCGAATGGGACACGATCTCAAACAACACAAGAGCACCGGGCTTTTGGTGTCGCAATGCAAGAGGATCATCAAGGCCGGTTTCAGACGGTTCATAATCGGAGAGATGATCTCCATCTGGACGGTCAGGAGGCCTAGGCAGCTGGAGCTCTTCGTACGACAAGAAATCTTTGGGA